TCCCACTGGATTCTGGTTCTTTATTGGCAAAATAGGTACGGAGTACATACATACATGGCAGTGATGATCGGGCAACTTCTCAGGCCCGTCCCAAGTAGCCGGGCCAGCTCAGAGGGCCGCTGCCGGAAGCAGTCTTCCGGGACCAATGAAAGCAGCTTGTCCTGGAGCCACCCCCCTTCTATTGGTGATTGGTGCCTGAAATGCGGCTCCATCCTTTTTTAGCGTGCGCTTTTTTTATTCATGTATGTACCAGTCTCTCGTCGAGATGTAGTCATCGAGGAGTCCCTTGATGCTCGGAACATGCAAAGCAGAGCAGTTGCAGACAGGACAGCCCGCCGCCAAAGCGGCCTTGACACGCCACCCTTGCATGCCTTGCTCCTTTTACCAGCTTCTTCTCGACCGTGCCCGTGCCTCAAGGTTTGGTGGTCATGGACGATGGAGGGGCCATCAACGCCCGGTGGGCTGATGAACAGTGTATGCGAGACCCTAGCCTCGGCCTCGCTCCCATCCACTGGCTCCGGAATGGCGTTTGCGCAGCTCACTATAATAAACCACATTCTGCCTTGGGTACCTGTTTGAAACATATCGTATGGTGCACAACACGGTGAATCGCATATAGTTTATTCCCCTTCCTTTGTTGGCCATTTCGGGCGGTTTGGCCTCACCCGCTGGACACCTGTCATGGGCGTCATTTTGGCGCTTCAGCAGCGGCTGCGTGTGCAAATGTTCCAAATCCAGTCCTTGTGTTCCCCAGCGCAGTCAGGCAATATGTACTCCGTAGTAGACTCGAGACCCCTTGTTTGACAGATGCGTTGCCGAGCATGTCATCCATTTCGGGTAGCAGTTTCTCTTTCTCTTTGTCGACTCACCACTTACCCGCCCCGGCACCGGACCTCGGAGAGGGTGTGCCATTGATTGGCCTACTGAACATTGGACGTGCGTAGTTGTGGCGTCGAGTGAGATGGCGCTGGTACGAGATGGAGCCAAAAAAAAAATACTTGGAAAAAAAAAAAAGGTCGCTCAAAATAGGTCGAAGAGCATGCGAGGTCTTGTTCAGGTCCATGCTTTGGTGTGGCGTCGCCATGCCTCTTTTTCTCACCAAGTGGCGGCGCAGCCCCGAACCGAGCCAAGGATGCTGACCAGCATAAGACATTGATTGCTGCGAGAGAGTGAGCATTTGCCTCATCAGGATTTTTTTTGTATTTTCAACAAGTCTACCATTTTGCCCTCTCAGTTTCCAGTTTCTTTTCCAATAGGCAGGCTCCCTAGGCGGGCGCCATCCACGTCTCAGCCGCGGACATGAAAAACCCGTGGTAGTGGCATGAGCGCGACGCTCCGGTCGGGATGGACCCTCAGAGAAGCACACCCAGGTAAGCGGCCCGTTGGACTTTATTTGGCAGGCGACGAGAAACGAAACAAGTTGAGGCCCTCCCCTCCCAAGGGGACAAAGACGGGGGGGGGGAGGGGGATGCCGTGGTGGTGGCGGGCGAGCTGTGCGGGTGGCGGCCAAACAAAAGTGTCGCGACAAAGACAATTTGTACGGCAGATTTCGTTTCAATAGCCCTCCTGTGTATGTATGGGCGGGCAGAAGAAGAAAACTCTGCCATGCAGCATTCAGGTCGGGCGTGTCGGTGAGATATGAGGCGGCTGCAGTAAGTCGCCGCCCTCGCGCTCGCCTTGAACCAACTACTAATTACTGCACGGCGAATAATTGTGCTTTCGTCCAATCAGCCATCGATTAAGTTGTTCACGTCACCACCGGGCCACGGCTTCCGGCCACGGCCATCGTTCGCTAGGACCCCCCTCCCCTTGTTGAACCGGTGGATATCAAAGCGGCTAGATGCATCTCTGTACGGATGAGGATGAGATGGGCTTGTGTTTGACCAATGGTTCTTGTCCAAGGAGTTTTCCAAAGAATAAAGAGAAAATAGAATAAAGAAAAAACGGCGGGAACTTCTTTCTTCCTCTCCCTCGATAACCCTCGCTATATCAGACAGATAGGGCAGATGCAGCGAGCGAGGGGGACAAAAAACCCGGTGATGCAGCGTCATGCAGAGGCCCGAACTAACATCCCAAGCCCCTCCCCTCAAGGCGG